TGTCTCCTGGTTTCAAAAGTAAAAGCTGATGTCAGCATAAACTCGACCACTGACGTGATTTTAAATATATCAGATTCAGATAGTGAGTCTACAGGTCAGAGTTCATATTTATTGTGCTGGAACAGGATCAGATCTTCACTCACACCCTGGATAGTATCTAAATACTGTTCACATGAACCGTAGATTGAATGATGTTCATTTGCTAATATAATGATCTGATCAGTGATCAGAGGTCAAATTTGTCGTATTTCTTATTTAGTTTGTTTACTTCTTGTTCAAGCTTTTTCTTCAAGGACAATTTTTATTTAATGTATGTTAAATGCTGTATCTATCATAGTATATTCAATTACATTATCATTTGGTAACTCTCACTGGAGCCTTTTAGATTCACCATCCGGCACCGATCAGACAAGGCCAATGTGGTAGCAGATTACCAACCTCAGGGAGGAGGAGGCTCTGTGACAGATATATGCCATTAATTTCCCTCAACTTCTTTCAGTTATCTCTAAGTTGTTAATAAACTTTGTCATTGTCTCTCTTAGTGTGACCAAAGCTGCACACTTGTTTATTTACCCATACATTAATCTGTAACTAACCATTACTGCTGCAGAGTTATGCTGCCGTCGTAGTTGGTTGGTCAAACAGCAGCACTATCAACAAGATTATCAATTTCGGAGGGACTAAAGTTATTATAGGACTCTGTTATATTCAGACATGGCATTGAATTAAACACTGATGGAATCTCCTCCTTAAATTTAGCTACAGCACTGTCAGATAGACATCTGCTGTAGGAAGTTTTGCCTAATGGCTTATAATCTAATAGTTTGAATTCAATTCAATTCAATTCAATTTTATTTGTATAGTGCCAATTCATAACAGAAGTTATCTCAGGACACTTTTCAAATAGAGCAGGTCTAGACCGAACTCTTTAAAACATTAATTACAGAGACCCAACAGTACCACCATGAGCAAGCACTTGGCGACAAGGGCAAGGAAAAACTGCCTGTTAAAAGGCAGAAACCTAGGACAGATCCTCCGGCTCTAGGTGGGTGGTCGTCCGTCTCGACCAGTTGGGGTGAGAGAGAGAGAGAGAGAGAGAGAGAGAGAGAGCGAGAGACAGACAGACAGGTGCACAGCAACAACAGTATTGGCAATGGCAATCTAGCAGGACCATGGCAGGAGGCTCCACCAGGATCGACAAGAACCTACGAGACGAGAAAGCACAAGAACTCCGGGGAAGAAGTGAAGTTAGTAACATGCATTAATGGGACATGAATGAGTGCAGAAAGAGAGAGGAAGGGAGGAGCTCAGTGCACCATGGGAAATCCCCCGATAATCTAGGCCTATAGCAGCATAACTAAGGGATGGTTCAGGACTCACCTGATCCAGCCCTAACTATAAGCTTTATCAAAGAGGAATGTCTTAAGCCTACTCTTGAATGTGGTGAGGGTGTCTGCCTCCCGAACCACAACTGGAAGCTGGTTCCACAGGAGAGGAGCTTTGTAACCTAAGGCTCTGGCTCCTGTTCTACTTTTAGAGACTATAGGAACCACAAGTAGCCCAGCATTCAGAGAACGTAGTGTTCTAGAGGGGTAATAGGGTACTATGAGCTCTTTAAGATATGAAGGGGCCTGACCATGAAGAGCTTTATAGGTGAGGAGGAGGATTTTAAATTCTATTCTACATTTTACAGGGAGCCAGTGCAGAGAAGCTAGTACAGGAGAGATGTGTTCTATTTTTCTAGTTCCTGTCAGTACTCGTGCTGCAGCGTTCTGAATTAATTGGAGCGTTTTAATGGACTTATTGGGGCAAACTGATAATAAAGAGTTGCAGTAATCCAGCCTTGAAGTAACAAATGCATGGATTAGTTTTTCTGCATCTGTCTGTGATAGTATGTGTCTAATTTTTCTAATATTACGTAAATGAAAGAAGGCAGTCCTAGAGGTCTGCTTTATGTGGGAGTTAAATGACAAATCCTGATCAAAGATAACTCCAAGATTCCTGACAGTGGTGCTAGAGGCCAAGTTAATGCCATCTAGAGTAACTATATCTTTAGACAGTGAGTCTCTAAGGTTTCTGGGGCCAAGAACAAGAATTTAGTTTTTTTTCTGAGTTTAACATCAGAAAATTGCAGCTCATCCAGGATTTTATGTCCTTAAGACATGTTTGTAATTTAGATAATTGATTAATTTCATTGGGCTTGATTGATAGATATAACTACGTATCATCTGCATAACAGTGAAAGTTAATGGAGTGATTCCTAATAATGTTGCCTAAAGGGAGCATATATAAAGTAAATAGTATTGGTCCAAGTACAGAACCTTGTGGAACTCCATGACTAACTGTAGTATTTATTGAAGATTCATCGTTAACATGTACAAACTGCGAGCGATCTGATAAATATGACTTGAACTAGCTTAGTGCGGTTCCTTTAATGCCAATTTGATGCTCAAGTCTCTGTAAAAGAATATTATGGTCAATGGTGTCAAATGCAGCACTAAGATCTTCAATTCAAAAGTTATTAAATAATGGTCAGATAGGAAAGGATTATGTGGGAAGACCATTAAATGTTCAATATCAATGCCATATGATAGAACAAGGTCAAGAGTGTGATTAGGTACATTTTGTTTTATTTAAATTTAATTTTTTTAATTCTATTTTAAAAAAACACGCTAATATGAACGGTGAAAATCTACTTACAGATTTGGGTGACGGTCTGGAGGACATTTGGGATGGAAATGCCTAAGAATCTTTTCAAGAAGCCGAAAATCAAGCCTTGCAGATCCCCAATCGGACCCCGGTATCCATCAACCCAACACGGGTTGAAGAAGACCTGAGGACCGGTGTTGAATCTCTGCCGACGCGGTCGAAAACACCACAGAAAAGACATCCTTGTGTGTTTCACGGAGAAATTGGGGGTATTTGTGAAGAGGGTACCCTGGCTGCAGACCCTGCAACACCGGTACAGAAAAAGAGGAGAGACAGCCTCAGCCCCGGTAGTGTGCATCAGGCTCCTACAGCTGTCGTGAATCCTTCGCCAGAGGCCCCGCTGCAGAGGTGCGAGCGCCAGCAAACCAACAGCGGACCCCGGATCCTGAAGCCGACGGATCACCAGACATGCCGGGTGAGAACTTTTAATGTTTTACTATTTGAAGCCTTTTTGTGTGTTTTTTGAGCTTTAAGTCATCTAAGGGGTGGTTGTTGAACCTTGCCGCTCCAGCGTTCAAATGAATCAATCATTACGTTACCGTGTCTATAGCGTCATCCGCCGTGATGACGTCTCGTATTCTTATGGGTTGCATACACAGTGTTTTCACACACGCATGCGTAGAAACAGGTTAACAAAACATGTTTGTTATGAAATACCTCAACAGGCTCCCAAGCTGTCACAACAGTGGCTGAGGTCCATGCAGTACCTCCACCCCGCTACCTGTTAGCAACCCCGAGACCTCAGACTCTTCCAAGCCGGTCTGTGTCACCAGCACCCCGCACACCTCTCGTGGTTCCCGAGACACCGTCTAGTGTCTGAGGAAGATCACTGTGTGCCAGAAGACTATTTGAAGGTACGTTTGAAAATAAATAAAATGTGAATATATACACATAGACTACATTGGTGTGCATAAAGTTTTAAGAGTTAAATTTTTCTTATCATCTTTGTTTTTACAGAAACTGCTGTAGGAGGAGTCCAGCCTGGGAGTGGACCAACAACAACCTCTGACAATCAACACATGAACACCATAGTGTTACTCTGTCAAGTCATGCAGACTTTTATTTCCTCAGTCGTTGCCGTATGTGAAAAAATTTAAAGGCAAGGTATTATTTTAATTGAAAAAATAAATAAAATAAAAATGAATGAAGAATTGGCTTTGGCAATCGCTCATATAAATCAAATTCCTGTTGAAAATGACCCTTTCAAGGGCTTAAACGCTCGCAATGCTCTCAGGGCTTTAAACCAGGTTCCTACAGAAACAGATGTTTCTGTAGACCAATCTGGACAACAATGTTATGACCCCATTGAAACCATTGACAATGCACTCCTGCTTTTAAACCAAAATCTGTCGCCATCTTTTTCTAATCAAAATGAATCCACCCAGGATGAGTCATTTGCAGATTCAGACTTACAGATTCCACCCGCTCTGCAACAGGGTGGGGGTCTGAATGAGGCGGGTCCTTCTGTTGAAGAGAGGGGTGTGTCTAGAGAGGACGGAGGAATGGGAGATACCTCGCACGGCCACTTTAACACACATAGATTTAGACGTATCTTCACGGTGCCCCCTCAGGGAAACGTACCCAAATAGCAGCATTTTATAGAGATGTGAATTAGAGAACTGTCGGACGATGCTTTACAGTTGGCTAGCCGTAATGATGTGATACAGTTGGAGGTGGTGGGTGAAAATGTACAACAACATGTCTCTGTAGTTGTAGATGATGACGGTGATAATGTTCTGCCAGTTTTTGAAGGGGTGCTTGACCGGTTAGTGCAATCTAACAATAACATTGTTCATGATGAGCAGGGGCGGATCTACCGGGGTGGCATAGGGTGGCAAGTGCCACCCTAAAAGAAAGCCTTGCCACCCCAGTTGGCAGCAACAAATTAAAAGAAAAGTTACGGCATTTGACATTTACGAGCGGGAATCTCCAATGTCCGACTGCAGTGAATGCAGCACGAGATAACGTCAGAGTGGCCGGCAAGAGACTGATTTGTTTGAAAAACTGAGTGGCGCGAAGCGAGGGAGCCAGGAGTCGCCAGGAAAGGAGAGACGGGAGGAAAGAGGTAAAAACTTATTAACTATCTATCAAGAAAATAAATTATAAAGAGAGCACAGTGCGTGCATAGTTGCAATGCTGATTTTGAGATGATAAGGATCAGGTTGAAGAACGTTATTTCGATAACTATACATACAAAAGCTAATATTGATTCAACGTCTGTCAAGGAAAACATTGTAAAGTTACTTTGAATTTTACAGAAATGAAGAGGAAAGGTAGCATACATAGTTTTTCTCACCAAAGAGAAAGACAACAGAAATAAAAACACCTGAGCAAGGTAGACGGAGAAGATGAGGTGGAAGGAGAGAGAGAAGAGATGGAAGGAGAGAGAGAAGAGGTGGAAGGAGAGAGAGAAGACGAAGATGAGGTGGAAGGAGAGAGAGAAGGGCAACAGAAACGTGATAGAGAGAGAATACAAGGCCAAGGCGACCAGGGACAGGAGGAGGTGGGAGAACACCACAGCGGTGAAGATATGGAGGAGGGAGAGCATCACCAAGATGAGGAGGGAGAAAGCGAGAGACAAGATAACGTGCAGGGCTCAGACAATGAAAGGGAAAGGAGAGTGTCTGAGCCATCACCAACTATCTCCAGTCGAGCTGGTCCACATGGTATGGAAACTGTTGCTGCATAGTAAACTAAGTTACATATGAATATGAACAACAAATGACAAAGACGGACATTTTGCTATAAGGTGTATTTAAGAGACATTGCTTAGACTTCTTCAAATAAATATAAATATTCATGTTTGCTTAAATATGAATAATTGGGGAAACTTGTCAGTGTGAAAGTGTGATGAGATGGGGACAGAGTTTTAATATTTTGTGTACAATGTATTTTAGATCTATTGCTCAGATTAAATTCCAAAATGAAACAAATGAACCTAAAAATACTCTCCCAGGCTATGTTAGTGTGTGTTAAACACAGTCTGATGGTTATAACTTATCAATGACACTTCCACATTGATTATGTTTTTACTAGTTGTTATATTGTAGAATTAGTTCAGATGTAATGCAGTTTCAATCTTTCCTCCCCTCCATCTTCTAGACGTATCCAAGTCCAGGTGTGAGGTGCCAGTGCAGCCAATGCGTGAGAGTTTCCCTAAGACCCTCCAGGGAGGAGCCAGGAGAAGCTTCCGCAGCGACTGGTACAAATCTCATCCCTGGTTAGAATACTCACAATCCAAAGATGCAGCTTACTGTTCTGCTTGTAGGCATTTTTCCCTCACTGATGCTCCAAGGACTGTTTTCACCTCATTCGAGGGTCATCGTAACTGGAAAAAGGCTACAATGAAAGACAGTGGTTTCTGTTCTCATGCCAGATCTTAAGGCCATGTAAATGCAATGTTTGCATGGACAGAGAACAAGAACATTATGGATAAAAATACCTCAATGTTTGGACTAATGGATGAACAAAAAAAGAAGCAGGTGGCTGAAAATCAATACTACATTAAAACATTAGCTGAAATTTTAGTTCTAACAGCCACAGAAAACATAGCACAGCGGGGTCATAGGGAGTCTCTCGACTCAGAAAAAAAGGGGTGTTTTTCTGTCTATGTTAGACTTGCTAGGTAACCATAACCCAATCATTGAAAAAAGACTTGAACAACAAACAATACAGAATTAAATACTTGAGTTCTTGGCTGCAATGGTCAAAGAGGAAATCATCCAGGAAGTTAAAACGAGCAAGCAGTTTTCAGTAATTGTTGATGAAACTAAAAATGTTCAGAAAAAAGAGCAAATGTCATTTGTTCTGAGACATTTTTACAACGGTGTGGTTCATGAAAGCTTTCTGGAGTTTGAAGTGACACCTGGATGCTGCCGCCTTAAGTGGCAAGATTATATGCCTCCTTGAGAAGCATGGGCTGGAGTACAAGAACAACCTTGTAGGCCAGGGCTACGATGGGGCAGCAGTGATGCGCGGGGCACATGCAGGTGTTCAAGCAAAAATAAAAGAAGTAGCCAAACATGCCTTCTGTGTTCACTGTAGTGCACACTGCTTGAACTTAGTTATAGTAGACGCTGTAAAAAGTGTGGCAGATGCAGGAAACTTCTTCTCATTATTGGAACGACTGTATGTATTCATGTCTGGGTCTTATGTACATAACAAATGGCTGGTGCACCAAGGGAACTCTAACAGCTAAGTGATACACGTTGGGCCTATAGGCACATAGCATCTCGCAATGTTATGGACAGGTTGCCTGCAATAGTACAGGTGCTTGAAGAGATCGCATCTGAGAACCATCCACAAAAAGCTGTTGAAGCAAGAGGGATATTGGCTCAAATTGACCAGAATTTAGCTGGATCTCTTGTTCTGTTCAGAAAGTGACTCCAAATTTTTATCAGACATGCTCCAGTCTAAAACAGTGGACTATGCTAAGGCTGTTGAACTTATTGAAGCACTTAAAGAGACATTGGTCCAGTACCGTAGTCAAGCCTCATTTGAGGAAATGTGGAGTGACACATTGATACAACTCAGCGAAAACCAAAGAGGCCAAGACAGACAATAAAGGTGCTTCAGGACACTTTCATACACTCCACCTTGGGACAGCATGTAGTTCCAGATAGCAAACACACTTTTTGTGTCTCTGTGTACTATCCAGTTCTGGATAACATGATTGGAGAAAAAGGAAGAAGATTTTCTAACACAAATTGTAACATTATGCAGGGTGTCCAGGCACTAAATCCGTCAAGTCCAACTTTTTTGAGAGAAGAGGGTGTTCTGTTCTTGGCTAAAGCTTATGATTCAAATATTGAGGATCTCAAACACGAGTTACACCAGACGAGGAGAGTACTAGACAAAAAAGGGGGAAAAGGAGAGTCCTACCACTCTAATGGAGTTCACTCAGTTTTTGAAACCATACGAGGATGTTTTTTATGAGATATCACCGCATTCAGCTGTTATAGGAATGACAACTTCATGTTATGCTCACTAATGAGCTTTTACAAAGCTGTTAAAATGATGACCTCAACAGAATCTGCACTTTAAATTTCTGTATTTATCTTTGTTTTGGCAACTGAGAAAATCTGATATCACCTTTAATAAAACCTAAAGTGTGAGAAAGAAAAGTTTAAAATGTGACACTGGTGTAAATGGTGTAGAAAAATGTCAAAAAATTGTTCAAGCTACTGAGGGACAAATAGGGAGAATGTGTGTTCTGAGTGAACAATAAAAGTGATGTACAGTACCTTGTTTGAGTGCTGTGACCCATTTATTTCCACAGTGTATTTATGCTCACCTTAGTACAGCTAAGTCCATTGATCTTCATGGGTAAGTGTTTCTTTGTATAGTTTCTTCTTGTACAAATGCTGCCTGCAACACTGCCTCTCTGACACAATCAAAAACTGTTTGCTTCCCCTCTGATACGTCTGCCACTCATCACCTGTGTTTTACCTTAATGCCTTTCCTGTGATAATGCCCCACCTACAGTAGTGTTACCATACTTCTATCTTCTATTAAGTGAGATCACATTGTATGGTCACTTATTCCTAATATGAACTGTTTCACATGAAACCTCAAATGCAAGACATTGATTGCATGAGATTAAGTTTGTCTGTATGAGTTTGTAAATGGCAGCCCATGCCCTTTTGTAATGTGTACATACTATTTGTCATCAAACTGTGATAACTGATTAAATTCAGTATATATACGTCTGCCATATGTTGCCACCCTTCAAAATTTCCTGCCTCCCTATCGCCACCCCATAAATATTTTTCTAGATCCGCCCCTGATGATGAGGATCTTGAATTAATCGTGCAGGTTGTACAGAACCCATCAGGGGGTGCTAAACGTAAACTGGAGAAAACTTTAGATAGTGAAATAGTTGACAAGAAAAGACGACACCTGTATGTTGTAGAGAACAGGGGTGATTGTCTCTCCTTTGCCACCAGCCTAGCTCACACACTCGAACCCACTTTCACTGACAGCCAGTGTGTGAAAATGAGTAGGGATTTGCAGCATCAGGTTGGTTTGGATGATCAGACACCCGTTACTTTTAGTGATGTGGGTAAATTTGAAGAGATTCTGGGACGCAAAATTGTGGTGTTTTACAGAACAACCCACGGCAAGCCTCTCTCACACTTTGAGGCGACTTTTGCAGATCGTTCCAGACCTCTGTTCTTATTTTTACTGCAGAATCATTACTATGGGATAAAAAATCTGAAAGCGTTTCTGGGCACTGGATTTTTCTTCAATTATTGTTACAAAGGATTTAACTGCTCCTATATGCACAGTTGTAAAGGTAACTGCCAGGTCTGCAACGACCCCATCTGCCCCACGCAGCCGCTCAAACCTGTGAAATGTTCAGATTGTCACAGAAAGGGCCATTCGCTTTCCTGTTCGCCAGACATAAAGAGGTAAAACCGAGCGCTATGAACACGCGAACGTTTAGCCTATGTGATCAGGTGAAAAAATGTCAAAAGTGCCAGCTGTGTTACTACATCAACATGACCAACAGTAAGAAGGTGCATCGTTGTGTCACCCCAAAGTGCAAAATCTGTGGGGGTAAATTACCGACTGACGCTAAAACACATTTGTGGTACATTCAACCCTTCTCAAGGAGACAGAGCATCCTGATCTGATCTTTTATGACTTTGAAACCTTTGTGGGTAAGAAAGGTGAGCATGTACCCTTTCTAGTGTGTGCAAAGACATTGTGGAGAAAAGTGTTTTACGGGGCAGAGTGTGTTAAACGTTTTCTCTTGCATTTCAGGAGCAACCAATACAGGGAAAATGTTTTTATAGCGCATAATTCTAGAGGCTTTGACAGCTATCTGATCCTACAGGGTATGCTGAAAGAGGGTGTAGCACCGCAGCAGATTCTCATGACAGGGAGTAAAATTCTCAGTTTTGAGGAGCCTAATTACCAACTTAAATTCATAGACTCCCTCTCTTTCCTGCCTATGCGTCTTAGCGCTATGCCCAAAGCCTTAGGCTTTACTGACCAGTCCAAGGGGTATTTCCCACACAAATTCAGCTCAGAGACACAGCTTAGGTATGTTGGGCCCTACCCGCCCCCCTCTGCCTATGGTGTGGAACGCATGGGGGCGCGTGAGTTGGAAGAGTTTCACAGGTGGTACACAGAAGCCTGTCAGGGTACCTTTAACTTTAGGGAGGAAGCTCTGCGCTATTGTAAAAATGATGTTGACATTCTCTTCAAGGGTTGTGTTAAATTCAGAGACCATTTTCTGAATGAAGGTGTTTCTCACCAACCTGCCTGCTCACTACCTGCCTCCTGAAACACTCGCTGTGCCATGCCCTAACAACTACATGCAGCAGTGTAAAAGATTCTCCACAGCATCGATTCAGTGGTTAGAGTGGGTAATGTACACACAAAAAATCTTCATACAGCATGCTCTAAACAGGGGGGAGAAACAGATTGGCCCTTACACGGTATATAGGTACCAGCGTACCTATATACCGATGGTGTAAAACATGTCTGGGAATTTCACGGTTGTTTTTATCACGGTTGTCCTCTGTGTTTTAGTCCTACAGGAACATGTCCTCTGAAAGGCGTCACCTTTGGGGAGCTGCACACTGATAGTGAGCAGAGACTGCAGACGCTAGAGGCCGAGTACAACGTTCGTCCTACTGTCATGAGAGAGCATGATTGGGCGGAGATGAAAAAATCAAAAGACCCAGTAAAAAAAATTCTGCATGATTTTGGGCTCCCAGAGCCTCTCAGCCCACGCAAAGCTCTTTATGGCGGTAGAACGAGCGCTTTGAAGTTGAGACACACTGCGGGGCCCTGTGAAACAGTGCACTACGTGGACTTCACTTCTCTGTACCCCTATGTAAATAGCGCATGTTCTTACCCCCTAGGTCACCCCACCATCATCTACAGAGATTTTGGGGACCCCAGAGACTACTTTGGGCTAATCAAGGCCACAGTCTACCCCCCTCGCGGTCTCTTTTTCCCTGTTTTATCATACAAAAGTTTACCTGTACACACTGTGATGAGGAGAGATCATTGACGGGTGTGTGGGTCACTGTAGAGTTTAACAAGGCCCTGGAGCTAGGGTACAGAGTGGGTAAAATTACAGAAGTGTGGCACTTTGACAAAAGTAGTGACTCTGTGTTTGCAGACTACATACATGCTTTTTTAAAGGGTAAGCAGGAGGCTTCCGGCTACCCCTCTGAGGCGACAGATCAGGGGAGCAGGGAAAAGTACATCAGAGATTACCAGATCCATCAGGGTATTCTGCTAGATGCGGGTAAGATTGAGTTTAACCCGTCAAGAGACAGGTTGCCAAACTATGCCTCAACAGTCTTTGGGGAAAGTTTGCGCAGAGAGACAATTTGTATCGTACCAGCATCATCTCTGATCCTGAAGAATTTTTCAGCTTCTTGTTTTCAGGTTTATATGAAGTTGACTACTTTAATGTGCTTGCCAACAAGAAGGCTTTAATACGATGGAGATACCGCGATAGCTGTGTACATCCCCCTGGTAAGCAGAGTAACATATTTGTTGCAGCATTCACAACCGTACATGCACGCCTCAAACTGTACGAATGTTTGGAGAAGTTGCAAGAGAGAGTTCTCTACATTGACACAGACAGCTTAATCTATGTAGTGAAGGAGGGTGAGACGCCTCTGGAAGTGGGTAACTATCTGAGTGATTTGACCGATGAATTGGATGGTGACAGTATTCAGGAGTTTGTAGCTGCTGGCCCCAAGAGTTACGCCTACCAAACTAGATCCAAGAGAAAGGTAGTTGTGCGCGTAAAGGGCATAACACAAACTCAGGAGTGTCACGACAACGTCAGAGAACTGGTGGAGGGGTACATCCAAAATTCAAGACAAGGTGTGATTGAAGTTCCGCAGCACACAATCACTTGTGATAAAAGAGGCTTTGTGTTAAAAAACTTGTCATTCCGGAAAAAGTTTAGGGTGGTGTATGACAAAAGGCGTCTCTTTGTTGACGGTACAACTCTACCTTTTGGTCATTAAAACTAGATTTTTTCTTTTTTTTTCAGACATTGCTGTTATGGAGGAAATTGATTTTGAGACCCGATTCATATTCCCTTTTTCCTGTTTGATTGTAGGTCCCAGCGGTTGTGGGAAAACCTACTTTGTAAAAAATTTATTACAAAACTGTGAACGTGTGATGAATGTTGTACCGGAAAATATTGTATGGATTTATACCTCCTTTCAACCTATGTACAGTGAATTGCAAAGGATGAATACAAAGATTAAATTTGTTCAAGGACTACCTGATTCTTTTGAAGATGAAAGCCCACACATCTGATTATTTTGGACGATGTTATTTTTCAAGCCTCCAACCATCCTGAAGTGGTCAAGATTTTTACACAGTACAGACATCACAGAAACATGATTAATAGTAGATCTCATGCCCACCTGTGCTTGTCAAGCACAATTGCTGGAAGTGCTTGGTGAGCTGCTGAACCTGTAATCACATAGAGGAAAAATCACATAATTTAGAGAAACTGAAAATCTTATGAGGGTGACCTGCTAACGGAGCTAGTAGCTAGTCCCACGCTAGAAAGTGCAGCTATTCTCTCTACTATAGACGGGATGAGAAACAAAATGATCGAGAGAT